AGGAGGTATATAAGGTGAAATAAAACAAATCAAAGCTAACAAATGAGTATTGCACCGGTATTTACATTTCTGTTAGCCCAGCAAATATGGAGGTGGAAGGAAACAAGACTCGCATCATAGTACATGTAAAATGTATATTTTGCTTCCTTGCGATTCTTTTTGAAGTCCAAATGTCAAACATCAAGCTCAGCTATATGGGCAGATTGCTTCTTGATGATTATGGGGGATATATTGCCACAAGACGGGGCCCTTACTGACCTGTCAGTGTTCTAGTTTGCTAATTTTTTAATAGATTTCTTTGAAACTTTTTTATGTAGTGACAGTGATAGCTTTTACATAAAATATTTTGACATGACTTTGTCCGGCTATGCAATTGCACATTTTTCAATACATTTCTTTGAATTTTTTTTTGTGAAGTTTCAGTACCATATGAAGTTGTAACCCCTGAAACAATTTTGCGTTTCCAACCTTTTTAATAGAGTTATGCCCCTTAACGTAAAAAATTGGACCAAACTTTTTCCAGCTATATGTATGTTTTCGCTCAATTTTCAATAGATTTCTTTGAAACTTTTTGTGTAGGGGAAGTACCATGTAGGAGTGCCACCCCGCCCTCTTTTGGCCAAATCATGATTTTAACATAAAAAATAGCCTTACAATTTAGCCGATTTACTGTATGATTTTGTCTTATTTCTGCCGATCCCAGAAAATTCTGCTTGTTTCTGCATGTTTTTATTATAATATCCTGATTGCAGTCTTCTCTGCGTTTTTAGACCACCATCATCTGATGGTGGGCTATTCAAATCACCCTGCGTTCGTCGTCTGCCGTCCTTAAACAATTCTTGATATCGGTATTTCTCAAGAAGTACCAGAGGGATCTTTCTCAAATTTTTATATGTAGGTTCCCCTTGGTCCTTAGCTGTGCAGGGCAACTTTTGAGACTGATCGGATAAACAACATGGCCGACAGGCAGCCATCTTGGATTTTAATAGTGAAAGTTTGTTATCACTATTTCTCAAGAAATACTTGAGGGATCTTTCCCAAATTTTATATGTAGGTTCTCCTTGGTCCTTAGCTGTGTAGGGCAACTTTTGAGACTGATCGGATAAATAACATGGCCGACAGGCAGCCATCTTGGATTTTGATAGTGAAAGTTTGTTATCGCTATTTCTCGGGAAGTACCTGAGGGATCTTTTTCAAATTTTATATGTAGGTTCCCCTTGTTCCCTTGTTGTGCAGCAGTGCCTGAAATGGACGGTCTCTCGCTTGCCAATGGCGATTAAAGTCTTGCTCGGGCGACCAAAAGTGAAGTAGTCACTGGCCCAACAAAAATAGTTCAGGCTGTTGAAAAATTAATGAATAAAAGACATTATAGTCCCTTCCACATTAACTGGGGGGCAGTACATTTTTCAGTTGTCATTACTTCGATTTGAATCGAACTGTCCGTGATTTAGAAAATGTGATGATTTTTTTATTTTTTTTTCAGATTTTCTATATAAATACTGCCAGGGTGTCTTCTTTGAGGTGCGAGTTTTGTGTATTTCTTTTTGGGAAGACCTGAATAGAGTGTATCATGTCAGGTTTTAACAAGGGTTGAAGAATTAAAAATATAATGTTTTATTCTGTTTTACATATAACAAACATTGTCATGTTAAATGTAATTTAAATGTGCTGAAGCATTATGTTAAATGTTGTGGAAATATTTCTTGCCAAAATTATTTGGGCCACCAATATGTCATTTGGGCCAGTGCTTCAAATTCTTTACTCGCCCCAAAATTTGTCTTCGGGCTAGCCAAAGCAGATTCCCCACTATCCTTTATTATTCATGTTTACTTTTGAAACTGATCAGTTAAACAAAATTGCCTACCGACAGCCATCTTCGATTTTTGACATTGAAGGTTTGTTAGTACTATTTCTCAGGGATAACTTGAGGGATCTTTCTCAAATTTGATATGTAGGTTCCCCTTAATCCCTCGTTGTGCATGTTATATTTTGAGACTGATCATAAACGCAAAATGGCTAAAGGAAGAACTAAACAGATCTTTCTCATATTGCAATGATCAATTCTATTTCTTTCACATTAAGTACTGTACTAGTAAATATGTGAAATGACAAACTCATTTTGAAGGTTGGCTTTCATACACATCAGTATTAAGTTTAGATCAAAAGTTACCTCAAGGTGCATTTACTGTTAGCATGACTCGATCAAACAGATTAGAGGAACGAAGAGAAAAGATCGAACTGACAAAGAACTAATGAAGACGGTACAATGGTGGGCGCCAAGATCCCTCTGGGATCTCTTGTTAGTAAGCTTAGAAACTGAAGCGTATATGTGAATGTGATCACACTTCCTCTTTCTTTAGCAAGAAAATAGTGAAATAATGTGCTCTTGACAAGAAAGATAAAATAAAAAGTTCAGGTAGGCCACCCCAAAAAATCAAAAAGAAATGGGATCAAAAATTTACACCAGAATACAGAGAGTGACATTTCCATTGTCATAATACAATGACGTGTATGCAGGGGGTATACTCGTCACCCCCCTCAGTGGCAGCTGTATAGTTATGTAAACATTTACCGGAATCAGAAGGAGGGTTCAGAAGTGGAAGAGAAGTCCTGAACAGGCATGATATTGCATTTAGACAGATGGCCGGTAAATGGAGTTAAGAGTTACGTAAACAGGATGTAATGATATAAACACAATCTACTTGGTTTTTGTGGTGTTTCAACTTGATAACAGTTCCGACAGGTGGTCATTGCAAAATAGATAATCTAAGTTTCAAATAAAATTTAATTTTCACCATTTCATGTGTACTCTTGATAGGGGTGTGTGTGTGTGTTGTAAACAGCGTTTCTATTCATAATCAATTAGATGGAAATTTCCGATAATTATATTACAAAATTTTGGGGTAATACGTAGATATTATAAAAATATTTCATATGAGTTTAATTCATGACGTAATTACCAACTACCAAATTAGATGTAATAGGGCGTCAGGCATAATTAGACACGGCCTTCCTCAAACAACTTATGTACCTCATATTTTGATGATTTCTCACGGAAATAGAGACAGGAAGTTCTCTTTATCCCACTCCTCTGTTGACTTCCCCATTAACAATGAGACTTATTGTTTTGATTGCATTAGTCCTTATTTCAGCAGATAATGTTCCTTGGTTCCATTGTTTTCGTTTGAAGTACGCGTGTAGAGCGCCATTTTAATAGCGGAAGTACATTATATCTAATTCACAAAACTAACTACATTACATTTGTAATGTAAAAATTCCGGAATATGAATTATGTGGGCTGGAAATTGGGAGCATGCCAGTTATTAGAGCAGGGGTCCTTATTACATGAAATAAGGTAGACAAAATTGAAAGTCATAAATCTAATAAATAATATGTTAGATATCGGTTAATGTATATATGCAGATTTATTTTTTCTTCGAAAACCTGTATATTTTATGTAAGAACTATGTAAAAAAGATATTGCATGATTCGCTTGAATTGTAGTCCCAGTATTGTTGGAGACGTAATCAGTTATATATTTGAATAAGAGTTGTGCGTTTTGAACCTTAGATGTATTTTAGCAGCAAAGATATAGAGGATATTTAATGGTGTCTTCAGTAATAACAAATATATTTCACGAGTGTGGCTAATATTTGAATATTTTGCACGAGTGCGCAGCACGAGTGCAACATATCAAAATATTAGCCACACAAGTGAAATATATATGTTATTACTTAAGACACCAATAAAATTTCTATTTATTACATTTTTAAAGCATAAAACATGAAAAATGTAATGTATTAAAAAAGGGGCGGGAATCAGAAGCGTAATAATTAGCGCCATATTCTAATGACGTCACGCTTAACAACACGGCTGTGCGTCATTTTGAATGGGATACTCAACGCAATTCCGACATTTCTGCTATTATCTTGTGTGATTGCTTATGAAAATATTATTAATTGTTTATTCATGTAAATACTTAAGTGTGTGTAACAAACATTTACCATAACAACCTCTTATTCTACCGTCACTTCATTTGAATCTGAACAAAAATATCGTTGCCTTTGAATGCAGCGAATAGAAGATACCGTTATGATTGGTCGATACCAAAAAGTGATATTTGTCACAGTGTGAAAGATATCAGTTTCATCAAGTTGATAGAATCCGATATTTCACTGGCAAAAATGTAAGATATATGTCCCATTTTAACTGACTTTGGGATGAAGCATTTTGATTGATCTAAAAGAATGTTGGATTGATATGAAAGTATGTCTGAATAATAACTTCCCTGACATTTCACCTGGATTCACCTAACTGATATTTCTTTGGGAAATAAAGCAGACTGTCAACATACTGAAGTCAAGTCTCGAACCCTACTGTATACAATAAGTCTCGAACCCTACTGTATACAATAAGTCTAAATAAATATTACATCACAAGTGATGGGCATATCTTTCTCTTCCTTTCATTCTTTTCTCATGTTAAAAGCAAACAAGCAAACAAAACCAAGAAAAAGGAATCAGCCATTCATTATCTTTTCAGTTCGATCTACAAGCTGACAGATTTTGGGGCTGCTAAGAAGGTTGATGAGGAGGAAGAGTTCACATCAATCTATGGAACAGAGGAATATCTAGTAAGTGTTAAGCAAACCAACAAAAACAGCTCTTCACAATCAGAACAAACATGGGAATATTTAGTAAGTGTCAAAAAACAACAACAAAAGCTCTTCACAATCAGAACAAACATGGGAATATTTAGTAAGTGTCAAAAAACAACAAAAAAGCTCTTCACAATATAACAAAACATGGAAATATCTGGTAAGTGTAAAAAAAAAACACTTCACAATATCAACAAATGCAGAAATATCTAGAAAGTGGTAAAAAAACACCCAGAAAAACTACAACAAGGGGTGTAAAATCCACTTGCCCGACACCTAAGACAATTCGTTTTGGTGTCTGGGCAAGTGCAAGAAGTTGGCGCACTTACCCGAGGCAATTAAGTGCAAAAGACATGTGTTCTTAAACATCTTTTGCATGTGTTTTTCTGTTTCCACCAGCTGGAGGTTAATACATACTTAATTGGCTGTAGTTTAATGAAATACACTCAAACAATTATCAAACAAACAAAAATTCATGAAAAACAACTTTGTTTTGAGGAAAAATGTTGCCAGTTGAATACTAGCGATCTTCCCGTCAGTTCAGACGATATGTCAGACTTTAAAGCTGTCTGTCCGTTTGTCCTTCTGCCCAAGAAGTTTGTCCGGGACATATCTTCTATACTTTTTTACCTTGAGTAACCAGATTTGGTGTAAAAGGACATCTTGGGATTGCGGAGTGCAGAGTACAAGAAGAAGGTCACTTTGACCTCACTGTGACCTATGCTTTGACCTTTGACCGTAACTTTTGAAAAAAGTTTGTCCAAGGCATATCTTTTATACTTTTTCACCTGAAGTAAACAGATTTGGTGTACAAGAACATCTTTAAATGGCAGAGTGCAAGAATTAGGTCAATGTGACCTATGACTTGACCTTTACTTTTGAAAATGTTTGTCTGGGGCACATCTTCTATACTATTTCCTGGAGTAACCAGATTTTGTGTACAATGATATCTTGGGATGGCAGAGTGCAAGAATAAGGTCACTGTGACCTATGACTTGACCTTTGACCTTTACTTTTGAAAAAGTTTGTCCGGGGCATATCTTTTACACTATTTCACCTGGAGTAACGAGATTTGGTGTACAAAAACATCTTGGAAGAAAATGTAAAAAAAAAAGAAATGTAAGAAATATAAACTTTATTTATATATATATACATATATTATAAATCTTCTTTGCCCCATATATATATATATATATATTATAAATCAGAAAAATGATCCTTACGGACGAAGAAATATTATAAAAAGAAAAATTCTCAACAACGAGTCTTTAGTACTTTAATTCATCTCTTCTAGGAGATTCTTCAGACTGTTTATTTCGGATATATATTTCAATCTTATAGCAGTTATGAAACAAGTTATTTCCACTTTGATGTTAGCGGGCTGGGGTCTCATGTGGGAGGAAACCAGAGTAACAGGAGAAACCCAAGTGGTCGAGCAGGTGACCCCATACCCGAAGGGCCAAGTGAGCTTATGCCGTGGTGTGGTGTCCTTCGTCTGTCTGTCTATCCGGTGGCCAGCCGGCGTCAACTTTTTACATTAAACAACTTTTACTGAATAACCAAGAGGCCTAAGGTGATGGTATTTGGCAAGTAGCATGCTGGGTTGAAGGGCTACAAAGTTTGTTCAAATGAATGACCTTCACTCATAATCAAGGTCACAGGGGTCAATTGTCTTTAAAAACCTTTAAACAACTTCTTTTTAATTACCAAAAGGCCTAGGGTGATGATATTTGGCAAGTATGTAGCATGCTGGGATGAAGGCCTATCAAGTTTGTTCAAATGAATTACCTTCACTCATATTCAAGGTCACAGGGGTCAAATATGTTGAAATCTTTGAACGACTTCTGAAGAATAACCAAAATGCCCAGGGTGATGATATTTGGACAGTAGCATGCTGGGATGAAGGGCTACCAAGTTTGTTCAAATTAGTGACCTACACTCATATTCAAGGTCACAGTGGTCATTTGTCTTGAAAACCTTTAAACAACTTCTTCTGAATAACCGAAAGGACCAGGATGGTGATATTTGGTCAGTAACATGCTTGGACGATGGGCTACCAAGTATATTTCTTCTGAATAACCAAAAATCTCAAGGNATATATCAGGTGACCGTTAAGGCCCATGGGCCTCTTGTTATAAAATGAATGACCTTGACCTGTATTCGCGGTCACAGGGGTCAAATATGTTTAAAATCTGTAAACGACTTCTTCTGAATAATCATGAGGCCCAAAATGTTGATATTTGGATGAAGGGCTATCAAGTCATTTGAATTACCTTGACCCACTTTCAAGGTCACATTTGGTGAGATATGTAAATGACCTAATCTCATTAAACAAAAGGTTTAGGTTGGTGATATTTGGCAAGTTGCATGCTGAAATGAAAGGCTATAAAGTTTGTTCAACGTAATGACCTTGTTCGAAAATCAAGGTCACAGGGGTCGAATGATTTAAAATATTTTAACAGCTTTGTTTTGAATGACTTATAGTCATAAATACTGATATTTTGCCTGTAGATTTATTTTAGATCACTTTTTAGGTTACAAGTGTTAGATTAATACCAGGTTAGCGATGCAGGCCCATTGGGGCCTCTTGTTAATTGACCAACACCCTTATTGTTACATCAGAAATATCCATGAAGAGACTGAGCATGTTATTGAAAAGAAATGCTTAGTTAATAATTTGTGAACCGCTTTGAGACGACCTACGCACTTGGTTGTGATACAACGGTATAAAAGAAACTCAAATTATTATTATTAATATTATTATAAGTTTAGAAGGCTTGCTGATGATTCCTAACTAACAATATTTTTTTTATTTCAACAAACAATTGAACAAATGGATTAGACAACAGTAGCTGTGTTCAGGAAGATTATTGATTGATCAATGTTTTAAGGCTTGTTGATGGTTCCTTACTAACAACACCAGCTGTGTTCAGAAAGATCATTGATTGATCAATGTTTTCAAGACTTGTTGATGGTTCCTAACAAACAACACCAGATGTGTTCAGAAAGATCATTGATTGATCAATGTTTGAAGGCTTGTTGATGGTTCCTTACTAACAACACCAGCTGTGTTCAGAAAGATCATTGATTGATCAATGTTTGAAGGCTTATTGATGGTTCTTAACAAACAACACCAGCTGTGTTCAGGAAGATCATTGATTGATCAATGTTTGAAGGCTTGTTGATGGTTCCTAACAAACAACACCAGATGTGTTCAGAAAGATCATTGATTGATCAATGTTTGAAGGCTTATTGATGGTTCTTAACAAACAACACCAGCTGTGTTCAGGAAGATTATTGATTGATCAATGTTTGAAGGCTTGTTGCTTGTTCCTAACTACCAATATCTGCTGTGTACAGAAAGATCATTGATTGATCAATGTTTTCAAGACTTGTTGATGGTTCCTAACAAACAACACCAGCTGTGTTCAGGAAGATCGTTGATTGATCAATGTTTGAAGGCTTGTTGATGGTTCCTAACTAACAACACCAGCTGTGTTCAGAAAGATCATTGATAGATCAGTGTTTGAAGGCTTGTTGATGGTTCCTTACTAAGAACACCAGCTGTGTTCAGGAAGATCATTGATTGATCAATGTTTGAAGGCTTGCTGTTGGTTCCTTACTAACAACACCAGTTGTCTTCAGGATTGATAGATCAATGTTTGAAGGCTTGTTGATGGTTCCTAACAAACAACACCAGCTGTGTTCAGGAAGATCGTTGATTGATCAATGTTTGAAGGCTTGTTGATGGTTCGTAACAAACAACACCAGCTGTGTTCAGGAAGATCGTTGATTGATCAATGTTTGAAGGCTTGTTGATGGTTCCTAACAAACAACACCAGATGTGTTCAGAAAGATCATTGATTGATCAATGTTTGAAGGCTTGCTGTTGGTTCCTTACTAACAACACCAGTTGTCTTCAGGATTGATAGATCAATGTTTGAAGGCTTGTTGATGGTTCCTTACTAACAACATCAGCTGTCTTCAGGAAGATCATTGATAGATCAATGTTTGAAGGCTTGTTGATGATTCCTTACTAACAACACCAGCTGTGTTCAGAAAGATCATTGATAGATCAATGTTTGAAGGCTTGTTGATGGTTCCTAACTAACAACACCAGCTGTGTTCAGAAAGATCATTGATAGATCAATGTTTGAAGGCTTTTTGATGGTTCCTTACTAACAACACCAGCTGTCTTCAGGAAGATCATTGATTGATCAATGTTTGAAGGCTTGTTGATGGTTCGTAACAAACAACACCAGCTGTGTTCAGGAAGATTATTGATTGATCAATGTTTGAAGGCTTGTTGATGGTTCCTAACTAACAACACCAGCTGTGTTCAGGAAGATCATTGATAGATCAGTGTTTGAAGGCTTGTTGATGGTTCCTTACTAACAACACCAGCTGTGTTAAGAAAGATCATTGATTGATCAATGTTTGAAGGCTTGCTGTTGGTTCCTTACTAACAACACCAGTTGTCTTCAGGATTGATAGATCAATGTTTGAAGGCTTGTTGATGGTTCCTAACTAACAACACCAGCTGTGTTCAGGAAGATCATTGATTGATCAATGTTTGAAGGCTTGTTGCTTGTTCCTAACTACCAATATCAGCTGTGTACAGAAAGATCATTGATTGATCAATGTTTTCAAGGCTTGTTGCTGGTTCCTAACTACCAATATTGGCTGTGTTCAGAAAGATCTTAATTGATCAATGTTTTCAAGGCTTGTTGCTGGTTCCTAACTACCAATATCGGCTGTGTTCAGAAAGATCATTGATTGATCAGTGTTTTAAGGCTTGTTGATGGTTCCTAACTACCAATAACAGCTGTGTTTAGGAAGATAATTGATTGATCAATGTTTTCAAGGATTGTTGATTGTTCCTAACTTACAACAGCAGCTGTGTTCAGAAAGATCATTGATTGATCAATGTTTGAAGGCTTGTTGATGGGTCCTAACTTACAACACCAGCATTACTGTATAAATAAACCCACTGTGAATCAGTGTTTCATGTTTTGAGGGAGAGAAGTGTGGGATAAAATGTCAGGACAGAGTTCAGCATTCTGTGTTGTATATCCAGAGAGGAAGAGTTTTAGGGGTGGGGGATGGGGGATAGTGATTACCATTTCTGTCCTGACTGTTATGATTCAGTGTTATCGCTCTGGTGACTTAATTCAATGCCTTAAGTTAAAGTATGATAATACCTCAGTGAGCCAATAGTTCAGGGTTCCTAGATCAAGGTCACTGTTGCTATTTAAAGAAATTTGTCAACTAGTTTAGTGACATCACTCTACCAAGTTTTACTTCGCAACAAATTTTGATTAACTTTATATAAAGGTCCGGTATGAAAGTATTTTGAATGAGTTGAATTTTAGAGTTCAAAGGTCAAAGCCATATTTTCTATTTGTAGAAATTTGTCAAACTATATTTCATTAATTTGCATGGCAGCAGGAGTATTATGTTATACAAACATCTTATAACAGAGTTGCTCTCCCATTTATGAAATTAAAGAGTTATTTATGTAAGATATGTTTTTAACATTTTACATTTTCAACTTAAGCTGAAATATTGTCAAAGAGATTTCATTGATATATCATGGGAATGTTACTGACAACTCCCTGAACAATTATTATTTTTTAGGTCGATTAGAAATCCAAAATGGCCACCTAGGCCGCCATTTTGAAAAACTATTACAAACTTAAAGTCAAGTTCAACTGGGTCTATTTAACTGAAACTTGGTTGGAATGATCGACTTATGGTCCTGACAGAGTGTTGTTATTTTTCGGGTTGATCAGAAATCCAATATGGCCACCACGGCAGCCATTTTGTAAAACTATTACAAACTTAAAGTCAAGTTCAACTGGGTCTATTTAACTGAAACTTGGTTGGAATGATCGACTTATGGTTCTGACAAAGTGTTGTTATCTTTCGGGTCAATCAGAAATCCAATATGGCCGCCTGGCCACCATTTTGAAAAACAAAAAATCAAACTTAAAGTCAAGTTCTACTGGGCCCATTTAACTAAAACTTGGTGGGAATGATCAACTCGTGGTCCTGGCAAAATGTTTTCAGGTCCATAAAAATCCAATACTGCCGCCATGGCTGCTATTTTGGAAAAAAATATTTAAAACTTAAAACCTGTATTTTTACAGATGAAATAAGATGAATTTAAGAGGAAAACAATTTATGAATGTCTGCATTCATTTGGCAAGCACTGGAACTTTTAGAAGCAATATGGTATACATGTATGTCGATCGGACGATGAATTTATCGTGACTCATCCCTGTTTACAATGGTTGTCCTAAACATGTATAATGATTGTTGTTAGCAACTTTTTGTTCAACTTTTGGTATAAATTTTTAATATGACGCAATGTTTGCATTATCATAATTTTCTTTAACTGGTGTCATTGCCATTGGATAGGCCGCCCGCCTTTAATCAATATGTTTATTAGAGATCCAAACATTCTATTCTGTGGAGTCATGCTACACGGTATACAACTCTAGACAAATGTAGATCGATTTATAGAATGGTGTGATGTAAAATGTCTGGAAATCCCAAAAATAACCTGTTGGTCTTCTTTTACGTACTGTTATCTTGTATTGAGTACACATGTATAAATAGTTTAAACAGACATGACGTGATATAGCTTTATCTAGATTTGAGGGCTTTCACCCCTGAAGTTTCATAATGAACTATTCCAACCTTTGAATTGGAAGAGTTCAAATGTGTCTTCAGGGGTGAATTAGTTTAGTTAAGATAAAGCCTGTTTATTAAAGGAGTGTGTAGGTGTGCCACAGGACTACCTGTTGATTTGTAACACTACGCTATCAGAACTAAAACACATGAAGATATTTGTTAATATAGGTATGTTGAAATTGATGATTTTTTTTTTATATTTATTTTCACTTTGTTGACAAGATCACATGAGCCTTTCATTAGTCTCAGAGGTCACACTAGTCAGGAGGTATTGTATGTTTGTAGTACCAGGTACAACCATCACGAGTGGTGGTGGTGGTGAAAATGTGGGACGTTGTAATTTTGACTCCATGATTAGGAAATTCCACTTTTGAATATACAGTTAAGGTGATATGCTACCTAAATTTGTATTTATCGGGTAAATGTATTTCCTTTGAAAAAAAGTTCCACATTAATAAGGATCTCCATACCACTGCCAAAAACTGTCATTGGAAATGTTTTACTGTCATGAGAAAAAAGCTCAGAACTTTTAAAATGGATTCCAGATCAGATCCAAAACAAAATAAAGGGGAGGTAATTCCAGATCATATTCAAAACAAAATGAAGGGGAGGTTAGTCTGTGTAAGAAAAACCTGATTTATAATTAACCCTTCAGATGACCATTATTTCTCATTAATATCATACTACTAATTGAAAGTTTTTAAAGACAGATAACTGCACAGGTAACGAGATCAAAGGTAGCATGTGTAGCATACAGCTTTAACTCATTCACCCCTGACGACACATTTGAGCTCTTCCAATTCAAAAGTGGATTAGTTTATTATGAAATTTCAGGGGTGAATGAGTTAAGATAAGGAGCATTATGTAATTTTAAGGAACTAGTTTCAGTGAGTGTCTGAAACACCACCGAACGGGAATATATTTGAGTTTCTGCTCTTCACACGCTCTCTCAAAGCAACCTTTAATGGACATATTTTAAGCTCACCTTGGTCCAAAGGAGCTTATGCCATAATGCCGCGTCCATCAACAATTTCTTCAAATGACTTCTTTTTCTAAACCGCTGATTGGAATTTGACTAAGTGTGACTTGAAGATGGTGGGGATTTAAACCTATACAAATGGAAGGCTGAGGGATGGCGCCAATAAGGGGTAATTTGGCCATATTGCTTTGAGTTATTTCTTCTCTGATCTGAAACAAAGTGAAGGATGTCAACCATATTTGGTTTGGAGCAATTTCAGTGGTTGAGGATTCAAAATTGTAACAGTTGAAGGGCTGACCCCTGGGTCTGAGGGGCGGAGCCAAAAATAATTTTCAACTTGGACATAATCGAGATTCCCGCCCTATAACCCTGTATACAATTGCTGATCATCAAGAGACAAACAAAATCGTGATTGACTCTGGGGTCTGGCCCCACCCCTAGGGACTTAATTTCTAGGTCATAACTTTGAAACGGTTGAAATCCCCACCCCATGACCATATTAACCATTGCTGGGCATCAAGACTTTGAAGAGACGAACAAACACAATAATGATGCTAGCTGAATGACCTTTGGGTCTGGCCTCAACTCTAGACTGCGATTTAATTTCTGGGCCATAATTTTGAAATCGTTGCAGAGATCCCAGTCCATATACCATTGCTGGGCATAAAGATCCCAAGTGAGTGAGGCAGGCCCTCTGGGCATCTTTGTTCTAAAAACTGAACTGAAGGAACCAAAACATNAGATTAATAACAGGTGAGCGATGCAGGCCCATTGGGCCTCTTGTAATTACATGGTGATTGTCAAGCTCTTCACAACTGTTCCAGTTCGTGATAGATACAGAAAGTGAAAGTGTTGTAGTTAAGTGTATTGTGTTTGATCGTAACAGCTGGTAAATGTTACCAACAACAACAGTCTGTCTGATATTGCTTATCGTAGCGAATGTATACATGGTACCATAAGTAATGTGACAACGTATACCAGCTGTTTTTGATTAGCAGATTGGGCAATCAAGGACTAGTGTGTGAGGTAATGTAAAATTTAAACAATGACATTTATCATCTCCTTTCAAAGCTGTCTTCAGACGGTAGACTTTTACCTCGAGTATACCAACAGTTGACTTTTTCTCTTTGTTGAAATTGTTTCCCTAGGGCTGTAGAATAGATGTTACCATTTCCTTCAAACAGTTCTATTGAAGGTTTCCTTTATATATGTACATGTATAGGTCTCCTTTGATGGTATTGCAAAACCCTTTATATGGTCAGAGTCTTGTTTGACAAAGAATGGCAATATAGCAAGGTGTTATTGTAATTGAAAACACATAACCAACATGTTGTTATAGTGATGTGGGAGGAAACAGTTGAGGGTTGGTAATTTGGTAAAAAAGCTAAAAGTCACATACAAAACTATCTCCAGAAGAGTCAATATCATAATTAACATTTGAAAATTAACACAATCTACAAATAGTTCAGTCATTTATGAGCAATTCAGGAAAGTGTTTTTCTGAAGTTCATGGCAACCTGTCTTAACCGAACAGGTCATTGATATTGATATCAAGAAATTGTCATCACGAAAATTTCCATACCACGATTAGTTCTATTAAAAAACACAAACATTTCCACACACACGAATTTCCACTTTTACACTATTCAGTTTCCAGATCATGGAGGGTCTCAGAGCCACAAACATACTTGTCCATTTTAATTATGGGTGGTCGGGTGGTGCAGTGGATAGCGCACTTACCTTTCACCAAGGCGGCCGGGGTTCGATTCCCCGATCGGACGTGAAAAGGTTGGGGTCAGCTGCCCGACTACGTGGGTTTTCTTCGGGTTACTCCGGTTTCCTCCCATTCTAAGACCTCCCCATGCACTAACATCCGGGCCAACAAGAGTGATTAATATAAGTTGAAACAACTTGTTTCATAATTGTTGTTAGATAAATAAAGTTTATATTTTAATTATGCGACTAGTTTATGCAAGTTTCTGATTATGAAGTGTCTCTAGAGGGACAAAGTTGAAGGACTATTATATACAGGTTTTTAGATTACAAGAAAACATCTGAATTGTTCCAGTCTTTACAGATCAGATGAAGTATTTCTGTCTTTTCTCCCTGCAGGATCCAGACATGTACAATCAGGCAGTGCTGAGACGACAGTTCAAAGATCACGGACAGACCTTCACCGGTAATGTCGATATCTGGAGCTTGGGTGTGACGTTGTACCATGTAGCCACGGGACGCCTTCCCTTCATGCCACACGGTGGCCGATCCAACTCACACACAATGTAAGTGTACTCTCAAGAAATCATCGGAGATCCAGTATAGGTACAGCCAAACTTCAAAACAATCCTAGATTTGTCTTTGTTCCTATACATACCCAGATAAGTTGGTAGTTACTATCTAGTTCTAATGCCCTATTCAATAAAGATTGTGTTACGATGAATGTTGAAACAGGGTCCATTAGCCCTTCTTTCTTTCCAACTGGTAAAACAGAGTTGATTTCATCCCTATTTGGATATATTTACTGCTTTATATAGGTAGGTTTTAATTACAGCTATGGTGTAGCTATGGTTGTTCTTCTAAATTCAAATTGTGACCTTCATTTCATGCTTCACTAACTTAGTGAAGAAGAAATGGTTTTTTTTGTGTATTAGGTAAAGAGGCATGTTTTGTTCCTATCTTGGTAACTATAAGTGCTACATGGATTAAACTTTCAGAAAATTTATGTAGTGAACTACGTAAAACTATGTTCTTTTCTGTAATCGTTAAGGAAGATAACAATTCACAGAGTCACTGTCTACGGAATGAGGGATAGCTATGACAGCATTGTCTTGTAATTTTAACAGGCATCGCATCACAAAAGAGAAGGAACAAGGGGTCATATCAGGTATTCAGCGCACAGCTGATGGTCCGATTGAGTACTCCAGACAACTCCCAAAAACCTGTGTCTTATCGCCGTGAGTATACATTATTAAAATGTCTTCTTCTGACAATTTTTGAATTGCACCTTTCTTTCTCAATTGCTAGTGTTTTTGTGATATGGTCATTACTTAGATGATTGAAGCAACAGAATTTCAATGTCTATATTACAGCAGGATACTCATCTTTAAGGGAAGTAGAAAGAAATTCTGGAAATCGTAATGATGTGACATGAAGGCCTTGGTGTGACATGAAGCCTTGGTGTGACATGAAGCCTTTGTGTGATATGAAGGCCTTGATGTGACATGAAGCCTTGGGGTGACATCAAGCCTTGGGGTGACATCAAGCCTTGGGGTGACATGAAGGCCTTGTTGTGAAATGAAGCCTTGTTGTGACATGAAGCCTTGGGGGGACATGGAGGCCTTGGTGTGACAGGAAGGCCTTTGTGTGACATGAAGGCCTGAGATGAAGCCTTGGTGTGATATGAAGCCTTGGTGTGACGTGAAGCCTTGGCGTGACATGAAGGCCTTGTTGTGAAATGAAGCCTTGGTGTGGCATGAAGGCCTTGGTGTGGCATGAAGGCCTTGGTGTGACATTAAGGCCTTGGTGTGACATGAGGCCTTGGTGTGCCATGAAGCCTTGGTGTGATATGAATGCCTTGATGTGACATGAAGCCTTGGGGTGACATCAAGCCTTGGTGTGACATCAAGCCTTGGTGTGACATGAAGGCCTTGGTGTGACATGAAGGCCTGACATGAAGCCTTGGTGTGACATGAAGGCCTTGGTGTGACGTGAAGCCTTGGTGTGACATGAAGGCCTTGGTGTGACATGAAGGCCGTGGTGTAACATGAAGGCCTTGGTGTGACATGAAGGCCTTGGTGTGACGTGAAGCCTTGGTGTGACATGAAGGCCTTGGTGTGACGTGAAGCCTTGGTGTGACATGAAGCCCTTGGTGGAAAATAAAGGCCTTGGTGTGACATGAAGCCTTGGTGTTACATGAAGCCTTGGTGTGACATGAAGCCCTTGGTGGAAAATAAAGGCCTTGGTGTGACATGAAGCCTTGGTGAGACATGAAGGCCTTGGTGCGACATGAAGCCTTAGTGTGACATGAAGCCTTGGTGTGACATCAAGCCTTGGTGTGACATGAAGCCTTTCATGCAAATAATTTTGTATTGTGAAAAATATTTGTAATGCTTTGTATCTTTCTTAAACATGTAGTGAAATGTATTACCAAAATTTAGCATAAACTCAACCTTGAGGTGTCCAAGTGATTATAATAGGATTTTTCAGGCAGGTCCAGGATAAATTTTTCAAATTGTTAAGATTCTTATTACTACAAGATATACTGGCAATAGTTTCTCAACCTGTCCAACAGAAGTAGCACATGTCCAGAACTGGATTATGATCAGCATTCCAAAATTTACTGATAACAGGGTAGAACTTTGAAAAAATAAAAAGTATCACCTGGCAATTTTTTTTATGAAATTAAACATACAATAAACAGCTGCCCTGATAAAACTTGATAAAAAGCAGGTGAGCACATCACCTGTCCTTTTATCAACCGGCAGATGGTAGCTATAAACGTATAATTCATAATAATGGGTAATTCTAGTCACTAACGCAGAATAAAGATTGTAATTTGTATAAAACTACAGGTGTTTAGTTCACATTGTATACCTGTCAAAGTAATTTTGATACAGGTGTAAATGTATTTATACACCTTGAGTATTATAAAGCTATTCAGCTAACAGTCACATTATATTTGTATGATTATCAACATTAAATGAATCCAACAGCACTGTGATAAAACTCAAAAATTAAACTTCCATATCAATACCAATAATAGAATAAATTAAAATAATGTAGGAATTTAAATTTCTTCAGAGGTTACATGCGTGTTGGGGCATGCAGTTAAAAATCCTGCAAAAAGTTCATGACACTATAGAAAGGACATATGGGATAATGTCACTGAGCTTCATTCAGCTGATTTAAAATACAATACATATTAAGCTGATAACTTTTCTGTAAATACTGGTTCATATTGATGTTTCTGGTAATATCACATGCGACTTAATATCACATTTTTCTCTGACAAATAAAACATGACATTAAGGGGAATATGCTACTTATAGAATAATTCCTGTATTATTACCACAAAATAAAATTTAATGAGCACAGTAGTCTGGTGATAGGGCGCCGGGCTCGTGACCGAAGGGTTGAGGGTTCGAGTTGGGCACAGCACTGTGTTGTATCTTTGAGCAAGATACTTTACTCCGCTTGTTCTAGTCTACTTAGCTGTAAATTAGTACATGGTTGGGCAGTGCTAGAATTGTAGAATAATAGCTGTGAGTGCTGAAATGGCAGCACCGGCTGTATGCTCCCCAGGGAGTTGAGAAAGATATTTGCTGGTTGAAAAGGCCCTATAACCATGGATAATAATTTGTGAACCGCTTTGAGACAACCTTCGAACTAGGTTGTGATAAAGCGGTACAATAAATCTCGAAATATTATTATTATTATTATAAAGCAAAGGACAACTCCAATCTTAAAAAAAATGTTTTAAGTTGAAAAAACCCACTTAAAACAAAAAGGAATATTTTAGATTTATGTATTTATCTTTTCATTTATTTATTTTTTGTCTGATAGATGTTTGAAAAACCTGATAGTGCCAGTGTTGGCAGGCTTGATGGAGAGTACATTGTCAGTCCGCTGGTCCTTCGATCGTTTCTTTGATGCTGTCAACAACATACTAAACATGAAGGTCATCAAGATGTTTGAATGTAACTCCGGATGTAACCTGCGGATTTATGTCGGAAAAAGTGACAGGTAACTATGGCAATACAACCCTGTTATAAACTTTAACACCATATAAATGTCAAATAAAGTGATATGTAACATTGGCGATACAATCTTCGTTGTATTCTTAGTCAAGAAACATTCTGACTTAACTCTGACAATGCAATCTTGGTTATAAATTCCATATAAATGTTGGGGAAAGAGACTGATAACCATAACCAAACAATTTGGCGATAAATTCCCTGTAAATATAGAAGAATTGAAGAAAAGACAAATAATAATGACCTTAAATGACCAAACTTGACAAAATGATTGTGTACTGTAGCTCATTTTGTCGATGGTAGCATTCACATTGCAGGTAGTGCAAGGGAGATAATTTGATATGCAAAGGGATGATTTTTAAACGACAACATCTTTGACGTGATTGAATTTTTTTCTGATCATATTTAAGATGTTTGTCATAACAATGAATCTTTCTTATACACAGATATGCCAGTTTTCAAGAAGTGCTAGCCAGAGAAACGGACATTCCAGCAGTGGAACAATTGATCCTCTACGACAACAGAGAACTGAGTGAAATCGTCGTACAAACGATGGAGATCCAGGAATACCCAAAGAGGATCCTGACTGGACAACTCTTCCTCTACAGTCGTGAGAGAGTCGACAGACAGAAGCTAGCTCTCCCTGAAATACGTGAGTTTTTAATTGATTTAACCAAAATAAGCTGCTATTTAGATACCATTTTGAGTTTGAAGTAATTTTTTACAAAAATTTAATTTATTTAAGAATTTGCATATTTTGCTTAAGTGACTTAAATATGTTATTATCTTTGAGATTTTTAGAAATCTAGATACCGTTTTCTTACACAAAATTGTCTTCATTCCAGAATTTGCATATTTGTTTAAGGTACTAAAAAAATGTTCTTATCTTCAAGCTTTCAGAAATGAACATTGCTGTATATTGAATTTAATTTTCATCAAAGTCATATTAACGTTATTAGAAATTAGCAAAGTCTACAAAATATTTGTATTATATGTATCTTTTGCCAATTGAGAAATGTAGATTAACTGAAATGGTTGATGCATTGTCTACTTGGATAAAAACCTATAGAAACATAGGTTCTAAAACGAGTGCTGGTTGGTTATTGTGTAGATAAAAACCTATAGAAACAGAGGTTCTAAAACAAGTGCTGGTTGGTTATTGTGTGGATAAAAACCTATAGAAACAGAGGTTCTAAAACGAGTGCTGGTTGGTTATTGTGTAGATAAAAACCTATAAAAACAGAGGTTCTTAAACGAGTGCTGGTTGGTTATTGTGTAGATAAAAACCTATAGAAACAGAGGTTCTAAAACGAGTGCTGGTTGGTTATTGTGTTAATAGATATATATATTTTTTATTCATTTTACAACAATTATGAAACAAGTTATTTCAAATTATATTAATTATCTTTTTGGGCCGGATGTTAGTGGGTGGAAATCTAAATGTATGAGGAAACCGGGGTGCCCGGAGATAACCTATATCCGGTCAGGCAGGTGACCTGATATCTTTTCATGTCTGATCGGGTAATCAATCCCCAGCTGCCTAAGTAAAAGGGGAGTGCGTTATCCGCTGCGCCACCAGACCACCTGTTATTATTGAGTTTAACCAGACCACCTGTTATTATGGAGTTTAACCAGACCACCTGTTATTATAGAGTTTAACCAGACCACCTGTTATTATTCAGGTTAACCAGACCACCTGTTATTATTCAGGTTAACCAGACCACCTGTTATTATTGTGTTTAACTGAGTGGAGTTGGTTAACAGTAATTTTCAATGTGTATAAGGATACAAGGTTTATGGTGTGTCTTTTTACAATTTGAAATTAAGAAAGGAAATTAAGATAAACATGATAATTAACCTCCCATCAGGAGTTTGGGGACTTAATCCTTCCTAAACCTTCATTTTATATCTAGAAAACCATATGTTTCTCCTGTACCACTGATACACGTTTAACACTGGGGGGAAAATTCCAATGAAATTTGGCTATGCAATGAAAGACTCTAGTTCAAATCATTGATACATGACATCCTCATTAAAGATTGACCAATAAAGTTATGTCATAAGGGTGCTTCCCAGTAGTGGGTAAATAAAAATGTTTACCAACTTCTATGGGGTTTATCCATTGAAATGAGAGAGATGAAACCTATTCTGGCTTTGAAATGTAAAAGAAAAGAAATGTATAATTATGACACTGACTGATATAGTGTTGTTTCATTGACAGCATCTTTCCCAACCATGCCTGAACACATGGCGATAGACAAGGACTCGCACTACCTCCATAAGATCTGTGCTATCGCATGCCTCATCAGTAAATCAATATCCAACATCATCCAACAGCAAGAACTCATGGAGCAGGCCGAGACCCATCTGAGGTAATATCACACCCTAGATCTAAGTAATCACTCTTCATTTTGTATACAGAGGACATTCAACAGTTCCCCTTTTAATACCTCATGTGTTTCTTGGATGTAATTACCTCGAGGGTTTCTTGGGTTTGGCAGAATACCTATATTTCATTCATGAATGGGAAGCAGAAGTGTGTATGTATACTTGTATATATGCTAAATACTTTGGCATATACATGTATAAGGTATTCAAAAGGAAAAATTTACATGTTCCATCTATTGCAAAAAACCTCTTTGTTTATATATCTGTTGACAGAGAAATTGAAAAAGAGGCCTAGACCATTCATGTGATCATTTTGCAGTTTGCTTTAGTTGCAAAAATTGACACGGTAAAATCCTCTGCCTATTTTTGGCTGTAACCACGATGATCCTGACCTCCTTAAAACTATTATATATACAGTATTCCTTGACTTTTAAATTCTTGCAAAGAACGATAAGTGTGCTCACTGTGTGAGATCTCTTCAGGCATTTGAACATGCCATAGCTTTAAAAATTACTGTAGAAATCAAATAAAGAAATTACTTAATTGTCAGGTCTACTGGTGGACATTTTCTGTCATCATTTGGTCTAATGTAGCAGTCACACATGTGCAGATAAAAGGCATCGCCATTACAGTAGAAAAAAAAAACCACCTGGTTGCGTATTTGACACCTATAATTTAAACCTTCATGTTAAATACACAGGGTTCAAGACTAACTCAAAATTTCAAAATGCAATTTTACCTCCAAAAAATTCAGCTAGCAGCCATTTTTCATTTGATGCAGAAGGCTGACTCTTTAAATTTCTTTCCACTTCTTACGTCCCTAGTTATTTACATTCTCCAAACACAGACTCTTTTGTCAACACTGATTCTCATTCAGTCAGCTGATCAATCAGTACAAATACTGCAGTTTTTAACCCCTGATAGATTTTTTTAAACTATTGTGAAACCTTTTCCTAACATCACAACAGAAGACAAAGAGAAGATGAATGACACTACAATGTTTTTTTACTTTCCCAGGGATTTCATTTTCCAAATCATCAAACGAATCAACAGTTGCGTTCCTGACATGTCAGAACACCTGATGGAAAATGATATGCATCAGAAAACATTCTTTGCCAGTTATTCATGCTTGAACGAACTCGTACAAGTGATAGAACAGAACCACAGCCAAGGAACCACGCTCAAACGAGCCAAAGTCAAACTGAGACAAATACTAAACGACGAATCACCAAAAGAAGTTTTACAAAAGGTACTGACTATGACATTTCTACTTGAGTTGTTCTATGACCCTGTTGTCAGTTGCCTTAATGAATTCATTACGTCCTCAAAAAAATAATTTATTTGCAGCTTTTGCAAAGATAGTTTTTCAATTTATCTATGTTTTAAGCGTCATTGGAACCTATCGTTTTAATGTTTTGTATATTTTGTGGTGATAATTTGAAAGAGATATATTTTTCTGCTTGATAACATATAAAACTAGACGTTTGGGTAAGAGCTCATCCCTATCAAAATGGAAACAAAATAAGGATTATTCCCAATATAAATATATATCTATTGAGGAACACAAAGGCCCTTAAAATTGATAATGCATGGTTGTTGGGGTCTGAAATTAGGGTTTAAATTTATACATTTGGTCCTAGGAAAAGTAATTTTGATGTGGTCACAAAACATGCCACCCTGCCTTCTCCCCATATATTTGATAGTCCTTAAAGACAAGGTCGATGTGAATTAATCTTGTTTCACAATTAAACTTTTTATGCAAGAGGTAAAAGCATTTTAANTGATGTGGTCACAAAACATGCCACCCTGCCTTCTCCCCATATATTTGATAGTCCTTAAAGACGAGGTCGATGTGAATTAATCTTGTTTCACAATTAAACTTTTTATGCAAGAGGTAAAAGCAGTTTAAGCATATTCCGTCTTTGCATATTGCAGAGTTATCTTCTCTTGTGAGCAGGTATTGATTGTTACGTCATTGGTTTGTGTGAGAAAATTACATTGTTTTCTCAAAAATGTATGACGTTATTCTCACAAACAAATGACGTAACAATCAATACCTGCTCACAAGAGAAGATAACTCTGCAATACGCAAAGACGGAATATGACCTTCTTACATGTAAAATAGTGACACATATGGTTGGGTTAACACTAGACATGCATTTATCAATGGTCAAACATACTTGTAGAAAAATTGTGCTTTGTTGTTTAAAAGTCACTCTGAATAGACTTATTCTGGTGCAATTTTAAATAAACTAATTCTATTTCAACTCTAAATATACTAATTCTAATTCAGTTCTAAATAGAGTTATTCAAATTCAACTCTGAATAGACTTATTCTAATTCAAATCTAAATGGACTTATTCTAGTTCAACTATAAATAGACTTATTCTAATTCCATGTTAAATAGACTTATTCAAATTCACCTCTAAATAGACTTATTCTAATTCAACTCTAAATGGACTTATTCTAATTCAGTTTTAAATAGACTTATTCAAATTCAACTCTAAATAGACTTATTCTAATTCAGTATATAATAGACTTATTCAAATTCAACTCTGAATAGACTTATTCTAATTCAAATCTAAATGGACTTATTCTAGTTCAATGTTAAATAGACTTATTCAAATTCACCTCTAAATAGACTTATTCAACTCTAAACGGACTTATTCTAATTCAGTTTTAAATAGACTTATTAAAATTCAACTCTGAATAGACTTATTCATATTCAAATTTAAATGGACCGATTCTAGTTCAACTCTAAATAGACTTATTCTAATTCCATGTTAAATGGACTTATTCAAATTCACCTCTAAATAGACTTATTCTTATTCAACTCTAAATGGACTTATTCTAAATCAACTTTAAATCTCATTTACAGGCAATGAACCGTTGCAATGAAGTCAAAGTCTACATGGAAGTACTTGTAGAAAAGATGAACGAGCATGAGCGAGATGCCATGTTCAGCTATGCCAGATGCTCTGAGGACGATCATTGGTAAATAGCCCTCTTCTTGTTGTCCTGTTCCATAACACTAGGGTTACAGGACCTGGTCAGGGCTGTCAGTCATCCAATTATCCTTATTGCTATATTGTCAAATGGAAATTGTTGTCGAAACCTTGTTTTGATATGGTTAGAGTTACATAAAAAGTCTGACATTTTGTGGGAATTAAACTTTTCAGTTTTAAGTTCACAGATGTTTTCTCATCTGCTCTTGTGTGCTAATTTGAATTTATTAATTTATACATTAAGTTGTCCTTAAAAGTGTAACTTATATTTAAGATACTAGAGGTGATATTTTTTTGATATATTACTATTTTTGTTTTTAGTGTACAGAAGAGCAGTTACTTAGTGACACTCCTGACAGAGATCTGGACTATGTTTACAAAACACAGAAAACAAAGGACTCTGTTAACGGAGGAAGAATTCATACACAACACTCAGAAGTAAGTGATCAGCTTTTAGCTCTTTACAAAAGTCTTTCTTTCTTTCCACATACAGATACAAAGAAAGTCAATAGATTTTATGCCAAATAAAGATAAATTTATTTCATTTTTTTTCCCATGTATTTCTGTTCTGGAGCATATTCATATCTTCCTATTTTCTAGAAAAGGAAGTAAGGTGGCATACAGTGTAATATTTCTTGTTAAGGATGTATGATACCTTACTGTAACAAAACCTTCTTTTAAAAGAGTTCCCCGTTAAAACACCTGTAAAATACACTTTAAAATAATCATTTGGCTGGATGAAATACTTTAGGAAACATTTAAAATGTACATAATGATTGATTGCATTACAGAAAACACTTAGGTAACCCAAAAAAAATCAGGTGACACTCATTACAATAATCTAAAGGGGGATAATTCACATATCACAGGTATAATATGTAAGGTAGCATGTTACCTTAATTTGACAAGAGTTGATTGCACATTCATATATCATGCAAACATTATTCAGCAACGTTTTTGAATGGGAAAAGTATAAATGTTTTTGTTCCTAAAACACCAATCAAGATTCTCACAAACACTGACAGGTCATTTGAACAAAACTTCCAAATTTTAGTAATGTAAGAAAAAATATGTAATTAACAATATTTGACAAGTTTTCAATATCTATATTGTTTAGAACAAAACATTAAGGCTGGTGTCCTAAAAACATTAAGGCTGGTGTCCTAAAAACATTAAGGTTGGTGTCCTAAAAACATTTATCCCCATTTTTAGGTCACCTGAGCTTTGCTCAAGTGACCTATTCTAATCGCTTTTCGTCCGTCGTCGTCTGTCGTCCGTCGTACGTCGTGCGTCATGGGTAAACTTTTACATTTTCAACTTCTTCTCAAGAACCAGTGGATGGATTTTTTTCAAACTTGGTCAGAATCATCCTTGGTAGATGAAGCTTCAAAATTGTAAAATTGGGATTCCTACCCCGACCCCTGGGGCCAGGGCGGGGCCCCAAAGGGAAAATTAATCAATATTTCAAAAATCTTCTTCTCCAGACT